GAAAATAAATTGTAGTAAGAACCCCAAAAATACAGAATAAATGGATTGCTCATTAACTTTTAAAATTATTTTCCCAGGTTTACTCCAGTGACAAAGTCTCTCTCCACGTTTTTTTCTTTTAAACTTCATGACATTTTGAGCCTAGTTTGTTACAAATTTACAATAGGTTATATAAGGAGTACAAATTACAGTACTCAAGTCTCCCTATGTAAAAAATAAACATGTGCATGATTGAATTTTATTCAAGTTTTTTTATTTAAGCTTTTCCTTCAAGCATTTTAGATTTTGTGGTGGTTTTTTCCCCCAACCAGAATACAGTATTTATGAGATAAACAACATTTTAAACATTGGTACAAACTTGATATACAAAAAACTTCCACCTTTGCAGCCTTTGCTTAAAAAGTGGTCTTTAAATTCACTTGATAAAAATAAAGGTTACTTATCTTAGAAACACCACACAGGTATAACCAGGGTTCAGTTCTTTTAGAACATCTTTCACTCTCACCTATTAGCACAAATATATTGCTAACTGTATATGCACCTATATAGCTACGCATTAAAGAGTCCTTTAAGGGCTATGATCCATCTTCTACTGTACAGAAGGATAAATACGTCCACAATTGACAAAATGCATCCATATTACATCATTTCCTGAAACGTTTGAAAAGTGGATGAACATGTTTATTTGAAGATGCCTTGCTTCTTGAGGTGAGATATTCCATATAAACTGTATCATCTGCCCCAGACATAGAGCTCATTGTGCCGAAACGACGGGACACCTAGAGTAAGAAAAATCACAAATGTTCAATTTAATTATATATACAATCTCCTTAGCCTACTGATGCCGAAGTAGCTAGATACAATACTAAAACACTGTACACTTAGTGGAGGATCAGGAATTTTGTATATGGAAGTGTGTAGGTTAATACTACCCTATTTTTGCACCAGGCATACTCCTCAATCAAGTGCCTCACAACATACTGCAAGAGTAATATGCCTGACCAATTAAAGCAGGTATAACAAAAGTAATTTCCTTAAATTGCTTTTAAATTAAAAGCAATTCAAGGAAAGGATACCTCAATGGATTCAGAATTTAAAAAGTATCCCAGCCCAATTCCACCACAGTTAATGGACAAACCTGAAATGTGAGCTGAACTACAGGCTAGACATCACTGGTCTGGCACCCTCGGGACTTGATCGGTCATGAATGAGGCAATTTGCCAGACCAGGGGAGGTCCCCCACTACTGGCCCCCCGAGCCTGCCTCCTCTACCCATTATCAGCCCTAGCTGCCTTGGCTGCTATGATCCCGGCCCCGTTACCAGGGCTGCCGCATCCCCATCCCTGCTACTGAGGCTACCACAGCCCTGGCTGTTCTCCTGCTCCGGTCCCTGCCCCAGTGCCACAGGGCTCCAAGCCACCAGCCCTCTTTGCCACTGGGGCTCCCAGCCAGGACTCCCTGGTCCAGTTGCCAGATGAAGGAGTCCCGGTTTTTGGAGGTCCAACCTGTACTATGATGTCCCTTTAACACAATGTATTAGCAAGCCTTAGGCTGATCTACACAGGAATGCTCAGGAAAATTAATCAAAATTAATTTTAAAGTGCTTTAGTTAAACCATATTAAATGCCTGCAGGAACACCATCATTCTGACTAAAGTGGCCTTAGTTCAGTTCAGCTTAATTCACTTTAGAAGTGGATTACACTAACCCAAACAAAGGTCACTTGAACACTGAGTGAGAGTTTGCATACAGGAATTGAATGCGGTTTAACTAATCCGCTACAAATTCACCCCTTTGGTTAATTCATACTAACTAGTAGGAAAACACTTAGGACTGACTATTATGGATCTTCACTAAGATCGATTTTTGTTATATGCTGTTTTATTTCGACTATTTGAAGTACTATGTTCTAGGAATAAAGTCTTGGAGCATGAAACCTTTCTACTCGTATAACACTGCAAATAAATTTAAGTGCTCTAGGATATTTTAATGTGCATTTTATAAAACTGATCTCTATAAAAGCAGAAATTCTTATCTGCCATTTGTCACCAATGTCCTAAAATGTAAAAGGATGCTGTAGAGCTCACAGCTGCTCAAGTGTCTCATTTCTTCCTAGTAGCTCAGCTAGCATTTACTCTTATCACCAGCCAGGTGTTATAAAACTGAAAATAAAGAATTCCATTTTCCAGTGCTCTGCGTATTTCAGATGATATCACTATTATGCAGTAGACAGATCAGGAAGTAAGGATCCAGTTCTGTGGCATTTGTAATCCACAATTACAAGAAGCTAAACATTCTTCAGTTACCTGAGTTGACTTTGAGCCATACTCTCCTGCTACCACCTCTTCCTCAGCATCAAGGTCAGAGGCTTGCAGGACCTTCTGAAGAAGCTGCTGCTGCTCTTCTTTGGATGAAAATGAAAGTTGTTCTTCTTCCATTCCTGCAAGCTTTGTGATCACCTAGGAAGCAAGAATGTAGTGGAGGAGGAATTTGCTCAGAGTTTAGGGTTTTTTTGTTTTTTTTAAATTAGTGTCTTCCCTGCTCCCAAGAAAATCAACTACATCCCCCAGTGGACCTTACTGCATTTATAGTGCATTAGGAATCCAATGGCTTTGCTTCACAGCTAAAACTATTATATGTAGGCTTGGAAAGATTACATTTTTAAATTGGTAAATGTTGATAAACCTAGATTTCACAGCACACACAAACTGACAGAAATATTTCCATCAACGACAGTCAAAATTTACAAATAGGCAAAGAAAGAAAAATGCCTTCAGAACTTAAAACTGATTTAAGAATTTTATGTTGAGTATTTTGACATGTGATGGTGACACAGTTTATGTTTAAGCAGTTATGAAGCTTCTAATTTGACTCAACATCTGTCATTAATTTAGATGGACCTTTGGTCTGATACAGTATGGTCATATGTTCATACTGATTTATCATCTGGCTTTTCCCATTTCAATCTAGATATCTGCTGAACACTCAAGTTCTCTAACTTCTACAGTTAAGAGGTTAATGCTTTATACCATTAGGAAGCTAGGACACCAAACTGTGATAATATTTTACAAAGCTTTGGTTTATTTAGCTGTTTAGAACATATAATTAATGCCAGTCATCATGGTTTATGGAAAACTTATCTTGTCAAACAATATTATATATACACATATTTATGAAATTACAAAGGTATAATGTTCATGTAATATATTTAGACTTCTATAAAGCATTTGAATAAGAAAAAAGGTATATCATCATCATGGAACAAAAGTGGATTAAAGACTGGCTAGCAAACATGTCTCAAAGTGTAAACAGAAATGGGAAATATTCATCAATGGCATATCTACTTAGGTTCCACAGGGACTGGTTCTTGGCACAGTCAACAAATACTTACAAACAAAACAAAATTTTAATAGCTATCTCCTTAATCTAGCAGACAAGGGTATAACAAGGTGCAACAGCTACAAGTCGAAGCCAGACAAATTCAGACTAGAAATAAGGTGCAAATTTTTAACAGTGAGCGTGATTAACCACTGCAAAACCTATCAATAGCTCACCAATTTGCCAACTACCTCACTGGAGATTTTTTAAATCAAGATTGCACAAGTATCTTTTAGAAAAATATCTAAACAAAAATTAATTCAGGGAAGTCCGATGGCCTCTGTTACATAGGCATAACTAGATCACAATTGCCCTTTCTGTCTTGATATTTTTCATGGATTAACAGATTATAATCTGCTAAAATCATGTCCATCTTCTAACAGGAAAAAGTATAGAAAGACTAAAAATTTTAAAGTGTATGAATCTGTCTCTTACGATGGTTTAAAAAATTATGTGTACAACTAGAGAGAATCTTTGCATTTCAATAATACATAATTGTTTCAAACCGGCCTAGCTCAAGAAGCGTCAAATTTAAAAGTTGTCATCAATTCTTTAGTCTAGCAGGTTTCTTCTGCTATTGGTCTAAGATTTTACCTTAAGTCTTATATTTGTGGAGCAAGAATTTTCAAAGGGAATATACTTTAATCTATATCTATATCTATCTAGATATCTTAGAGTATGTCTAGACTGCATCCCTCTGTCGACAGAGGAATGCAGATTAGGCAGGTCGACATTGCAAATGAGGCAGGGATTTAAATATCCTGCACCTAATTTGCATAAAAATGGCCACATTTTGCTGACTCAGCACTTTGTTGGCAAAAAGCAGTAGTCTAGAGGGGGAATCAGTTGAGAAAGAAAGCCTTTTTCGACAGATCCCTTATGCCTCCCGCAAGGAGGTTTATAGGATCTGTCGAAAAAGGCTCTCTCTCTCGACAGATCCCCCTCTAGACTGCCGAGTCAGCAAAACGTGACTGCCATTTTTATGAAAATTAGGTGCAGGATATTTAAATACCTGCCTCATTTGCAATGTCGACCTGCCTAATCTGCATCCCTCTGCCAACAGAGGGATGCAGTCTAGACATACCCTTAGAGAGCTTATGCGTCTGTCTGTGAGTCTGTCCTGCGAGTCAGTTTGTTCAAGAACTCATCCTAAACGATAAGAGCTAGGACCACCACATTTGGCACACAGCTTCCTCTTATCCTATCTTAAAGCAAGGTCACAGTTTGGTTTGGCCAAGGAAATGGAAAGGGCTTGGAATGGGACTGTTTTCTCTAACACAGGAGAAGGGGTTGATTGGAAGCACAGATACACTGCAGAGGGACCACAGGGGACAGCCGCAGCAGCAAGACAGCGGCCAGTTGGGGGTAGGGATTTTCACATTGCCAGTCACTGGACAAGGCAAGTGCCCCCCGCTCCAAAGAGTGCCAGATGTGGGGGAAGCCTCCCCCACACTCAATCTGTTGCCCTGAGTTCCCACTTCACACTGACTCCAGCACCTCCCACACACTGCCCGAGCCCCTCCCACACCTCCAAACCCCCTGCCCTGATTGGCACCCCCAACCCCTTCCAAACCCTTGTCCTGCCTCCTCCACCCCTCACCCTCCACTCTGAGCACCCCACACCTTCCACTGACTACTGCACTGCCCACTTCCTGTCCTGAGCCCCCATCCCCTGCTCTGATCCCTGCACTCCCATTTGTGCCCCATCATTTAAATAAGGCATGCATATTTTTCTTTTACATTTTTTAAAAAACTACCACAGTTAAGGACCCAAGCAATGCCGGGTACATCTGCAGTGAGATAGAACATCATCCAAACTCAGTTAACTCACAGGGTTCTGAGCAAGGAATCACGACAGGAGGGTTCTATTTAAAAAGCAAATGAGTAACAAAAAATAGCAAGAAGATATGAAAATGGTAGCTTTTTCCCCATACATACAGATATAACACAAGCAACTACTTAATAAATGGTACATAAAGCTCTCCATACAAAGCAAGTGTTTAAAAAAACCTAATCTTTATTTCCCATGGTATCAGCCCTCAAGTTTGGCAACAGCCATCTGGCATTCATGCTGTCCTTGTTTCAATGCCAATTTAAGACTCCTAAAACTAAGGATTACTTGCAAAAGGAAATCTCTCTACTGTGGCCTAATTAGTTCCATAATCCAAAATATTTAAATACAAGTAATGTGATTTGAGGGTTTTTTTGGCTATAACCATGTAGGCCTGTTCACTATTTAGATCAACCCTAATCTGTAACTATTTGATCAAACTTGATATGCTACAAAAATGCTTTCATACAGGAAGATTGCTATATGAAGTTCTCAACAGTGAGATGTATTCTGACGTCATCGTCTTAACTGGCCACAGACGTGGGAAAAATGATTCTTCTAGATGTTGTATCCAGGTAGACCCCACTCCAGGTTACCTCTTTTGAGAGTGTCTCAGCGTTTTTCTAGGTGGGTGCTCAGAAGGCCCTTGCTGGCCGTAGAGGGGTGTCTGTCTAGTTTGCCTTTTGTATCTAAAGAGCTTGCAGTTTGGGACTGAGTGTCCAGTGACCATGTTGTGACTCTGAAGTCTTTTCTGACATGTAAAGTAGCAGCATCAGTATGTCTGTTCAATCTGTACCCAAAACTGAAGAATCTATTGAATTCTGTGTCTCCCTAGGAAGTCCAGAGGCATGATGCTCTTTACATAGTAACTGCAGTGGCCCTATGTCTAGCCATTGTGTCTGATGCATCCATGCCTGCTTGTATCATCTTTTCCATTAGTTTTCTTCTGTCAATGATTTTTAACGCCACTCTAGAGTTTGGGCAGAAAGAAAGATTGTATGTTCTAAGTCACATAATCCAACTTTGCAAACAAAACTGTTAGTTCACTATTTGTAGCTAAAGTGATGTTGATGGATAAGCCTTTCTCCCAAAGAAATCTAATTTCTTTAGGTCTTTGTCCTTTGGTGTACTCTCAGACTTTCATTTTTTCATGAACTGGAAAGTCCACTAAAGAATCCAACTTTTGGGAGGGTGCATAATTGCTCAAAACCCTTTTGGCTACTGGTTACCTTTTTTTCCTTCTCTTTTAGGTGTCCAAAGTAATATTACTTGGATTCACCATATAATTTTTTGCAGTTCTAAAATGTTCTTGTTACTGGGCAATTACAGCAGAACCAAAAGAATATATAATGTCAAATAAGTGTCCTTAGGCAATGAGGTTTCTGTTTCATCAACAATCCTCTTAAGACTGCCTTGTTGGGAGAACATGAGCCTTTGGAACTGGATGAAGAATGTTGGTGACTCAAGATCTGTCTGCTAACTGGTGGGGAGAAGGTTCTCTGCTGGAAGATGGAGCAGACTTCTTATAATGGTGCTGCTAATCTTTGAGGTGATGTTGATACCAACCTGTTACGGCCGGGATAGTTATTGATAACTATGTCAGCCCTACTGATGCCACTAGTTCAATGATTAAGGAATCTGAACTCATATATAAATTTTGAGAGCTATCTTTGATATTAAAAAATCAGAGATACTATTCTAAGTGTGGATCCTGAAAACAAACCCCAAAGGAAAAGATACCAATCGCTGAGCCATTAATTTGGGCAATATTGTTTCAGGAATAAAGGGTGTTCAAATTGCAATTCAATTATGAAGCCTTTCATGATAACATCAAGAAGAACTGAGACACACAAAAAGTAGCATTCTGAAGATGTAGCCAGAGGAAGTAAAATATACCAAGATATTCTCTGGACTCCGATGTAGACTATACAAATTATCACCTACAGCGATGTGGACTGAGACCAACTGGGGACTCAAAGTTAGTTTACTTGGATTTCTATTCTCCACACACTCAAATCGGAGGGCTTCCAAAACTTTCAAGCACACGTTACGACAGGGGTGGGAATTAATTTTTGATTGGGGGGGAAAGGAAGGGGGCACTTCAAGAATTTGGAAAGTGGTTGAGGGCCACACTCTTCCATGATATGAACAGAAGAGATGCAGGGTCTGGGAGGGAGTTTGGATGAAGGAGGCAGTTGTGACCCTGGGGCATGGGACTAGGGTGCAGAGATTTCTGACCTAGGGCAGGGGACTGGGGTGCAGGAAGAGGAGCATGAGTTTGGGTTATGACCTAGGGCACGGGATTGGGGTGGAAAGTCTGGGAGGGGGTATGGGCTCAGGAGGCGGGCAGTGGATTTGGGTTATGTGGGCTGAGGGGAGGGAAGGGCTGGGGTGCCAGAGACAGAATCTGGCAGGGAGACTTACCTGTGAGACTCCCAGCCAGCAGCCCAAACACATTTCTCAGGCAGGAGCCTCCCCCCGCACAGGCTGCAGAGTAAGAGCGTGAGGGAAGGGGGGAGTGGTGCTTCACTTGCTGTCTGTTCTTAAAACAGGCAGCTCCCAATGGCCAGAAACCAGCCAATAGGATTGAGCTGGGGGCGGAAACAGCACCACTCTCCCCTCATAAGAACATAAGAACGGACGTACTGGGTCAGACCAAAGGTCCATCTAGCCCAGTATCCTGTCAACTGACAGTGGCCAGCACCAGGTGCCCCAGAGAGGGTGGACCGAAGACAATGATCAAGCGATTTGTCTCCTGCCATCCCTCTCCAGCCTCTGACAAACAGAGGCCAAGGACACCATTTTATCCCCTGGCTAATAGCCTTTTATGGACCTAACCTCCATGAAATTATCCAGCTTCTCTTTAAACTCTATTATAGTCCTAGCCTTCACAGCCTCCTCTGGCAAGGAGTTCCACAGGTTGACAACACGCTGTGTGAAGAAGAACTTTCTTTTATTAGTTTTAAACCTGCTGCCCATTAATTTCATTTGGTGTCCTCTAGTTCTTCTATTATGGGAACTAATAAATAACTTTTCTTTATCAGCCCTCTCCACACCACTCATGATTTTATAGACCTCTATCATATCCCCCCTCAGTCTCCTCTTTTCTAAACTGAAAAGTCCCAGTCTCTTTAGCCTCTCCTCATATGGGACCCGTTCCAAACCCCTAATCATTTTAGTTGCCCTTTTCCGAACCCTTTCCAAGGCCAAAATATCTTTTTTGAGGTGAGGAGACCACATCTGTACACAGTATTCAAGATGTGGGCGTACCATAGAGTTATACAGGGGCAGTAAGATATTCTGGGTCTTATTTTCTATCCCTTTCCTAATAATTCCTAGCATCCTATTTGCCTTTTTGACTGCCGCTGCACTCTGAGGGGAAGTTTTCAGAGAACTGTCCACGATAACTCCAAGATCTCTTTCCTGATTTGTTGTAGCCAAATTAGCCCCCATCATACTGTACATATAGTTGGGGTTATTTTTCCAGATGGGCATTACTTTACACTTATCCACATTAAATTTCATTTGCCATTTTGTTGCCCAATCACTCAGTTTGGTGAGATCTTCTTGGAGATCAAACCCTCCCCTTTGTTCAGTTTGTGAAAAAACACAAACAGCCCCACAGCCACTTTTCTGAGCGGTGTGTGGGGAGAGGGGCAAGCAAGGGAGTCTGCCTGAGGCTCCCTCCTGCATCCATGGGACAGATCCTGTGGCTTCAGATCTGGCCTGCGGAGGGTGTTTTGCCCAGGCCTGGGTTAAGGCCTTCCCGTTTTTGTGGAATCAGCCAATTTTTTCTATGCAAATGTTCTTCCGTTGGTCCCACTCCCCAGTTACGTACAGTAATGTTATGGCAACAACAGTTGCCTGTAAGCACCAACTAATTAACTATTTGCACCCTTCATTATCTTCAGGAAGCATATTAGATACATTAAGGCTCCAATGAAACTGACATTGTAAGTGCAAGTCATCAGTGTTCCACATTAAAAGGGACTAAATTACCTTGAAGCTGTATCCTTGATCTACCAAAAACCTTTGCCGTTTGGTTGAATATGCCATTTCCTGAGTATCTTGTGATACAAGGGAATAAAAGAAGGCATTGTATTCCTCTGCAATTGTACCTAGGAAACAAGAGATATTGGACAATTAGCCTATAAGTGAAGACATCATGGAATTGAAGGATGAAAAGAAAACATCTACAGCAGGAGTGTAAAGTTATTTTTATAGAACTCCTTTTCTGAACATACTTTAAAGATTAACTACACACATGCACTTAGGTAATTAGATCAATCAGCAAGTGACTATGTCTATAGCATGGAAATTCTTGCCGAGAATTATTGATAACTTGAAAAGATTATGGGAAGAGGCAATGGGAAGTAACTGAGACCCAACTCTTGGGAGGAAAATATTGCTTGATGTATTGTGTATTCCAAATAAGGTAAACTTACTTAAACTGTGCTTCTGATACAAATCAGGAAACAATACAGCAGCAAGGTACCAGAAAATAAGTTTTATAAATGTAAATGTAGAGATTTGCACTAACATGGCATAAAGCCAGATGAAACAATAAGATATTTAGCTAGGAATTAGTAAGGCTATTTCAAATTCAAGGCTATATAGTTATATATGGGTAATAGATTTTATGGCTCTCACAGCGCAAAAAAAAAAAAAAAAAAAAAAAAACCTATTCAAGAATCCAAGTCCTCCTTCCCCTCACCCTTAGATACAATAATGCAAATGTTACATCTATTTCAGACACATTTTCAAATCCAGGCTATTCCCTTGTGAAATCTAAGCAACAAGCAACCAAATTCTGCACGTGTGTGAAGGGTTGCACTGTCTAATTTAAAACAAACAATTCTCCATATAACTGCTGTCTAAATTCGAAGCACTTTGGGTACATTTTTCAAAAGCTCCCAAAGCCTGAGGAACCCAAATTTTGTTTTCAAAAGCAACCCAGGCATTTTGTCAATGAGACTTAGATATGTGCATTTAGAGTAATATTACAATAATTTATCTGATGTAATTTTTTACTAGGTTTATGGGTCAAGAAGAGCACTGATGAATGAAAGACTAAAGGAAGGTGAATTTTAGATAAAAATATGTATTATAGGTTGAACCTCTGTAGTCTGGCACACTCTGATCTGGCAATATCCATGGTCCAGAATGATTTTAGTTAGCCAAACGTCCTGCAGTCCCATAAAGTTTGTTTACAGCCACCAGTCCTGGCTCTGTGTCCTGGGCTGTTATTTAGCTCTAATTTACCCCTAAGTGTCTTCAGAGCCTAGTAAGCAGTGGAAATATTGGTAATATTACTAGATAATATTGACCTTTTGTGGTCTGGCAAATTCTCTGATTTGTCACTAGTCAGGTCCCAAGGGTGCTGGACTAGAGAAGTTCAATCTGTACCTGGAGACCACTAATTTATAAAAATACAGGCACTCATTCTATGCCTTGGATGTCTAGACCAGGGCTGGGCAAGGTGTGGCCCAGGGACCGGATCCGGCCTTCCTATCACTCTGATCTGGCCCGCAGACTGCATCTGGCCACTTTCTATTTATATCCTGCTGCCTGTGCCACTGAATTTCCAGGTAGTGGCTCTGGCAGCAGGACCCTGTTTAAATGGCTCACGGCTGTCAGTGACAGCACTATCCCAGCAGGAGATGCGAGCCCTTTAAATAGCTGCAGCAACCCCAGGCGGTTGCTAGGCAACATGGCAGTGGCAGGGCCATGCACCATGAGCCCTTTGCTGTGTTTTTAATTCAAAGCCTCTAGCCCCAGACAATTCTGGGGGAAGGCTAGTTCCCAGTACCACCCCCTTCCAGGATGGAGCCAGCCCATGAACACATAACAAAATTCATTAAGTGCCCCCCCTGCGAAAATTATTGCCCACCCTAAGGATATTAAATTTAGATGAACTAATCGAATAGTCAATGCGATTTCCATTGACTATTCGATTAGTCTGTAAGGGCACCTCCACCTTTGAACTGCAGCAAGAGCCCTGCTGGTCCTGTGCTCCCAGCAGGGCTTCTGTTTTTGAAAGGTACAAGAGCCCCAACAGAGCTGCCCTTATAGACTAATTGAACTGTCAATGGCAATCGACTATTTGATTAGTTAATCTAAATTTAATATTCTTAGGATGGGGCTCTCGTACATTTCAAAAGCAGAATCTCAGCAGAATCGGCACAAACGGAGACTATTTCTTTAGAGCATCCCAGAAAGATTAAGAAACCAGACTCTGAAGATCAATGTTTGGGAGCAAGATCTCTAATCACAGACCTTCACAGAGAATGCGAGTATGTCTACACTTGCAGGCCTATTTCGGAATAGGGCTGCAAATGTAGGCATTTGGAATTGCAAATCAAGCCCAGGATTTAAACATCCCGCGCTTGATTTGCATCTTCCCGGCTGGGCGCCATTTTTTAAATTTACAAGCCCGGAATAACTGCCCGCGTCTACACACAGCAGTGAAACGGGCGTTCGAAATAAAGCCCTATTTCGAACTACCTGTTATTCCTCCTGCAATGAGGTTTAACAGGTAGTTCGAAATAGGGTTTTATTTCGAACGCCCGTTTCACTGCCGCGTGTAGACGCGGGCAGTTATTCCGGGCTTGTAAATTTAAAAAATGGCGCCCGGCCGGGAAGATGCAAATCAAGCACGAGATATTTAAATCCTGGGCTTGATTTGCAATTCCGAATGCCTACATTTGCAGTCCTATTCCGAAATAGGCTACAAGTGTAGACATACGCTGCCCTGCAAGCATCTCCAGTTCAAATACCATCAGAGACTTACCTGGGGCGGACAAGCAAGGGGAAAAGCTGATCTCAAGTCTCAAATTATTTAGGGCTTTACAAGATACAAATAGTTCTATGAATTTCATCTGAAAGCTTACTGCAAGTCTTGCAGACCCCCAGGGCACTGATCTGACACGGTCCCAATGTGCAATTCCATTCACCAGGAAGGACTCAACATTCTGCCCTAGCTTCAGCCTCTGAGGAGTCTCAAGATATAGACCCCACGTCAAGTGCATTATCACAATCCTGTGTCCAGGTGATCAAGTCATGGATAATTGAGGTGAGGTCTGCACTGAGGACGAGGTCATACTGCTCACGTGGCGAGGATAGGAAAAGAAGCACTGTGTGCCAATGTCACTATCCAGGCATCCAAAAGCAGTCCCAGATGTGGCAACCATGGTGCACATCTATCTTTGCTACAAATGGTTACACTCTCTCACTGAGGGCTGCCAGGAAATTCTACTAAAATAGTTCTGGCTGCCTCCCCATAGCCAACCAACATTCTCTCTCGCTCTCCCCCAAGGATTATATTACAATTGGCCCCAAGCTCACCTAGGCAGAGTGGTGCCTTGCAAGAAAAAACCCTTAGAGTAGAGGAAGCGTTGCCTCCAGCTACCTTCTAGGTTCTCTCAGAATAACAACAGAGCCACTGAAGAGCAGCTCAACACTGATCTGGTCGCTTTAAAAGCCAGAGGCAGAGAATTCAAGACACCAAAGCATTCTCCCATCAAGTACAGGTAAAAAGGAGCCTTTACCCAAGAGGGAGAAGAACGGTAGTGGGGAGGGAGAATAAAATGCTACACCTCATGCCACTCTGGAAAGGGGGCAGAAGAATGTATCAAGGGGAAAATACAGGATTTGTTTTATAACCATTTTCTCAAGTGCTGGTGTTTCCATGTCCATCCACTCCTATCCTCTACAAAATACAAACAGCACCAAGCAGCTTGAGCACAAGCTTTCCTACTCCACCTTACAGGGTCCAACCTTTACTTTTTTCAAGACAGCATTTTGCTGCTGCTCAGAATATGCGCTTTGCATTTCCTGAAGAGCATAGACCTTAATACATTCTTAAATGAAATAAAAGGCAAAACAAAAAAAACAGGAAAAAAAGAGAGCCAAGCAGTAACATGGGATGATAAAACATTCCAACAAGCAGACACGAAAGGATACAGGTAAGATCAAAAAAGTGAATAAATACACAGCTAAGAAAAGGGAAGAGAAGCGGGAAAGTCAGGACAAGGAGAGACCATGACAGAAGCAGAAAAGATGGTTCCTTAGTACAGCCTAGTATAACTGCTTATTCTTCCATTTTTATTTTAGATGTAATCCTGGGTCAACTATGGCCACCACCAACTATGGCAATCTGTCTGCTTGGTTATATGGATACTTTGTGTTACACCGACACTTGACTGTTCAATCTAAATGATTAAGAATTCCTAGTCTTGTAGCAGAATCCAAAACACAAAGCCCAAGAACATCATCATTTACCTTTTTTGGCTCTCAGCACTCGTCCCAATCTTTGAGCCTCTTGTCTTCGAGACCCACCATGGGACGAAATCTGAATCAGAACGTTGGCTTCTGGCAGATCAAAGGACGTGTCACCTACCTACAATACAGAAGCAGTCTCTTAGTAATAAACTATTTTCCCACATCAAGAAATGAAGACAATGAAATATACAACCTTGGTGATGCTATAAGAAGTGTGTCAAAAATAAGTTGGTACATGCAGCTTACTGCATTTTTTAAATATATTTGCGTCCTTCAACCTGATGCAGTATCACAGTGAATGCCTTCACTTACCTTGGAAATAAAGATAGTATTGATTTTTGGATTGTGCTTGAAGTTCTGTAGGATCTGCATTCTCTCTCCTTGTGCAGTAGGACCATATATGTAAGGTCTAAAATGACAGCACAAACATTGAAAGTAATCAGTGCTAAAGACTTCTCAGAACTATTTATCCTTAGGACGCCATGGAGGGGAGTGCAGTATGACCATTTACAGTTTCAGTATATAAATAGGAAAATTTGGGGTTCTTTTTAAAAACGAAGTTTTGCTGCTCATCTTTAATCCTTTGGCTCTTTATTGTAACCCTGCCCAATGTACTGAATCACCACCTGGGGGAAACCCAAGCTGCCAGAGGCAGACTCAGTGATCAATGGGTTTGATTTGATGTGCTATGACTGAACTGCAGATCAGTGGATTGAAAACATTTGCTAATCCTACATGAAAGGTTGAATGCAGCTGTTAAAATAAAAAGGTGGTTGATTGATTTTTCCCCTCAAATCCACTGAGCTAGTATATAGACAGCTGTGACCCTCTCACTTCTTCCCACTTGAGTCCTTAAAGGGAAGCTTGGATTCTTAATTAAATGTTTGATATCTCAAACTGGCTGCAAAGTATTTTATCTGGAAATTATGTTTATGTTTTGAAGTCAACACCTTTCTCTTCTTCTCCAGTAACCCCGGGACATACAGTTTGCAACCAGGATACAATGTCCACAGGAAAGGAACATCACGATTGGGAGACTCGTTAGTGCACCTTGCAAGCCAACACTCAAAGGTTAAGATAGATGTGAGAAGTTCATACTTCTGTCTGCAACCTCAAGAGGACAGCAGTGCAATTCTGAGTGTATAGGTTACCTCCTTACAAAGTCTGAAGAGAAAGTGATGATACAGAAAGAGTTTGTGGGGATACTGTACATGGCCTGATTTTGTATCTGTAGAGCTGGATTGTCCCTGGACCTCCAACTACCTTACATTAGCAGCAGTCTTCCATAATACCTCATATAACTTGATCCTTTATTAGCTCCCTCCCACTTTAATGTTTGCTGTACATCTGCAGTGTTTTCTGCAGACTCTAGTCTAGGCCTGACTGTAAATGCAAGAGAAGCCGGCAGGAATGTGTAGCTGGTGCTTTTCCATCTCTTCCCTGTTCTCAGGGGAAGCTTGTTAGCAAGTACTTTCAAAACACCAAGATGAGCAAGTTTCATAACTCATGTTAAAAAGTTTTTTCCCCTATTTAAAAAAGGAGCATCGGCCCCAAAAGTTTAGCTTAAAATTTCCATACAGCACACATCACTGTTATCCGAGTACAAGAACCCAACTCAAAAGTCTGCCAAGTCTTCCACATCCCCTGGGTATTTGCTGCTAATGCCTTCCTTTACTGAAAAAGTTCATTCTAGTTTTTGTGCTGCCAAATCTCCTCTAATCCAATTCTTGCACTTGGTACATTTTATTAAGAGTCTTTTCCTAGCCAAAGCTGAAGTGGCTAATAGGAATGACACACAAATTGTTTTAAACAATACTGTTATTGTGCAGCTAGTGACACCCTGTGATGCTGCTATAGTTAACAGCCTGCCAATGCTTCTATTTTAACCTTCATTTATCATTTCATTTTAGAATAGGAAGGGGATATTCACTCCCAATAAAGTTTCACACACAAAATATCCTGCTGACTGAACTAAAATTAAAAAACTTATGAGAAGTCCACACATCCATCAGGTGCTGCTTCCCAAGGCTATACACAAAGAACCTTTCAAGCCTATATTGTTGTAGCTAAGCCAAGAAAATGGAATGGCCTGAAATCATTTGGTGTTTACTCTCCCCTTCACGTCCATCAGGTAGGTTCATAGTGATGAACAAGTTATAATACTTCTCCTACCCAGAATAAACACAAAACATCTAACAACAACTTCCAAACAATCCTTCCCTCAACCAATGGGAAGACACCAAGCCTCAAGGATCAATACCTGTGTTGTCAGGTAGCAGGTTTAAAACTAATAAAAGAAAGTAGTTCTTCACACAGCGTATAGTCAATCTGTGGAACTCCTTGCCAGAGGAGGCTGTGAAGGCTAGGACTATAACAGAGTTTAAAGAGAAGCTAGATAATTTCATGGAGGTTATATCCATAAAAGGCTATTAGCCAGGGGATAGAAATGGTGTCCCCGGCCTCTGTTGGTCAGAGGCTGGAGAGGGATGGCAGGAGACAAATCGCTTGATCATTGTCTTCGGTCCACCCTCTCTGGGGCATTTGGTGCTGGCCAGTCGGCAGACAGGCTACTGGGCTAGATGTACCTTTGGTCTGACCCAGTATGGCCGTTCTTATGTTCTTATGTCCTTACGTCAATGTATCAAGCCCAGAAAGACTGGATGTGGCTCCTATAAAGCAGTGATTTAGATGTATTGATAAGTACCATGGCTGTACAAAAAGAATGGCTCTCATAAAAGCTATACAAGCTCTGGATGACGCACGGAATGATGGTCAAAATGCCAGGAGGAGCTCAAAAAGAGTACAGTACTGATTTCAGCACTTAATGAGTTTTAAGAAACTCTGCCTTTTCTGCCCCATGCCAATCCTCCATGACTGCCAAACATTGCAATCCTTCCCTCCCTATGGTACTGACAGTTGTGTAACGTTGGGCTCCACTCCAGATCTGAGGAGAGCAATTTAGAGGATGGAGATTTCATTAAAAAAAAAATCCACACAACTACCCCAACCTCCTGCAATTTAATAGCTCTGCCAGAAACCTTCTGTAGTTTTACTTACAATACTTCTCAAACGTCTTCACCAGTCACTAAACTACAGGGCTCCCCTTTCCATCCATTGCTCGTTTATTCTTTAACTCAGACTCATTTTATTCATTATCTTACATGGAACTCTGAACACAGCTGTTAACATTTCAGAAGCATCATTCTAGCTAATCTCTGGCCCGACAGGTTTAAGAATTAGGATGAAAGAGACCACGAGTTCTGAACCTGGAAGTCATCCAGCACTGTTAGCTTGGCTTATTGTTTCAAGTCACCGTGAGCTGGTGTACAACAGCTATTCCACTGCCCTTCAAAACTCATCTCAATTTTTGGAAAGAGAGCGTGGGATTTTTTTGGTAAGATATAGTGTTGAAACTACTGGACAGCTGAAAAAGTTAAACAGGGCTAAATGTTCTTCACCATTTCTGCCAAGAAAAGCCATGATTTCCACTCATAATTAAAAGGGTAAGGTTGGCTTCTCTAGCCACTCCTCGAGTATCTCCTTTAGTATTCCCTCATCAATCCTGCATGTACTTTGATGCTAACCCTTTGTCAAAATTAAAATTTACTTGCCCTCTGCTTATGCAATTGAACCCCATCCCAAAGAACAATTCCAAGGCAGCGAAGGAGCCAGAGGAGCACCTACGGAAGCTGCGCTGTTTATTAACTGTATTATACTAGCGTATGTTTTTGCTCCAAAAACACTTAAAATCTTCGATTAAGACAAAACTGCTTCAGGCCTGGAAAGGGACAAAAAGCAGGAAAGGCGCATGTGAAACACTGGTTTTCCAGTAAGGAGAAGGGGCAGTGCTCTCCTTATTCACCAATACTTACTTCCCCAGTCTGATTGCATACTCCTTCAGCGCAAACACATTGTCAGCAAATACAATGATCTTGTCATTCCTTCGTTCATGAAATTTAATCAGGAACTGGCATGCTCTGAATTTATTTGGGTTCATAGTGTAGAGCAATATTCGCTTCTTTGTTTTGATAGCCACATATTCTCTGTAAAACTCTGGAGACATTGGGCACCAAACCTAGAATTTTTGAAAAAAAAATTATACATAATAATCCATAATCAGATTGCATCTATAGAAGAAAAGATATTCATAGATTTTAAGGCCAGAAGGTACCATCATCATAGAAAACTACTAACTAGAAGAAATCTTAAGAGGTCATCAAGTCCAGTCCCCTGCCCTCATGGCAGGACCAAACACTGTCTAAACCATCCCTGATAGATGTCTATTTAACCTGCTCTTAATCTCCAGAGATGGAGATTCCACAATCTCCCTAGGCAATTTATTCCAGTGTTCAACCACGCTGATGGGAAGTTTTTCCTAATGTCCAACTAAACCTCCCTTGCTGCAGCTTAGGCCCATTGCTTCTTATCCTATCATCAGCGGCCAATAAGAACCATTTTTCTCTCTCCTACTTGTGACACCCTTTTAGATACCTGAGAACTGCTATCATGTCCCCCTCTCAGTCTTCTCCTTCCCTCATAGCTCATGTTCTTTAGACCTTTAACCATTCTTGTTGCTCTTCACTGGACCTTCTCCAATTTCTTCATATCTTTCCTGAAATGTGGTGCCCAGAACTGGACACAATGTTCCAATTAAGGCCTAATCAGCACAGAGTAGAGCAGAAGAATGACTTCTCGTATCTTGCTCACAAACCTCTTGTTAATGCATCCCAGAATCATGTTTGCTTCTTTTGCAACAGCATCACATTGACGACTCATATTTAGCTTGTAGTACCACTATGACCCCTAGATCCTTTTCTACAGTACTCCTTCCTAGACAGTCTCTTCCCATCCTGTATGTGTGAAACTGATTGTTTCTTCCTAAGTGGAGCACTTTGCATTTGTCCTTATTAAACTTTATCCTATTTACCTCAGACCATTTCTTCAGTTTGTCAAGATCATTTTTAATTATGACTATCCTCCAAAGCAGTTGCAACCCCTCCCAGCTTGGTATCATCTGCAAACTTAATAAGCATACTCTCTATGCCAATATCTAAATTGTTGATGAAGATATTGAACAGAACTGGTCCCAAAAATGGACCTCTGAGGTGGTCATCATATAGTCCAATTTCCTGCACAACCTGGGCCACAGAATTTCACCCAATAATTCCTGCCACAAGCCCATAACTTGTGGTTGGACTAGAGGGTATTATAGACAACCATTCTTGGTATAAAGATAGTCTTCTTTTGCACTTCCCATTACTGGTAGAAATCCTCTCTTAAAATCACTGTCAACTGAAAGGAACATTTAGTCTTCGATAGTGTGTAAGTGTAGCAACTCACCAATCTGCTTTTAACAGGTCAATGCAAAGTTCCATTTAATGTTAAATACTGTTTTCCAGTAAAAATTGTTTATAAAAAGTACATAACTTCACTGGTGCAAAGGTAGACTCTGCAGCTCCTGAAATGCTAGCTTCAACTAATACCGCTAGCTCACACTGGGAGGGGGTCTGGATGCTTTCCCCATTTATAGGTCTTCCTTTCCTTACAATACATTGTTCTAGCATTACATGATTTTATATTTAGTGAAAGACCTTTATTTACTTCCATATTGTTGTACTTAATTAACTGAATTGTAAGAATATGCCACAAATCATAGGACCAGAAGCAGCCTCAAGAAGTCATCAAGTCCAGTCCCCTGCACTTAAGGCGAGACCAAGCACCATCCATACCATCCCTGACAAGTATGTCAGTCTAACCTGCTCTTAAAACTCTCCAATGATAGCGATTCCACAACCTCTCTAAGCAATTTATTTCAGTGCTTAACTACCCTGTTTCTCCTACTGTCCAACCTAAGCCTGCCTTGCTGCAATTTAAGTCCATTGCTTCTTGTCCTACCATCAGAGGTTAGAGAAAAAACATTTTCTCCTTCCTCCTTGTAACACTTGAAAACAGCTACACCCCCTTTCAGTCTTCTTTTTTCTAGATTAAACAAGACCAATTCTTTAAATATTCTCTCTCTAGACCTTTAATCATTTTGTTGCTCTTCTCTGGACTTTTTTCCCCAATTTGCTCACTTTTTCCTGAACTAGACATGCTACTCCAGTTCAGTTCTAATCAGCGTGGAGCAGAGCAGAATTACTTCTCTTGTCCTGCTTACAACTCTTCTGTTAATACATCCCAGAATGATGTTTGCTTTTTCTCCCCCAACAGTGGTATTAAATGAAGTGGTACTATCCATATACCACAGTTTAAAGTAGGTCATCTTTTTTTTTTCCTATTCTATATACCACACTCGTTACCATAGATTCAAACCACCCAAGAACACAACACCAGTAAATAAAAACTAAGAATATATAAACAACTACACTTGTAAATGAAACTTTATTTTATAATTATTTAATAAGGCAAGTTTAAGAACATTTCTGCCAGTAATTTAAACAAACATTTGCACCATGGTATGGAAACAATATAGAAGACACTACTGAATAATTACTTGCTTTCTTAGTGGCAATTATTATTAAACTCAAATCCTATCACAAATTAAATAAGTGAACTATATAATGGTTTTAGAGGAAGATTCCTATTGCACAGAGATGGAGTGTAACAATGGAACTAATCTGGATTAGGCTTCGTAGCTCCAACATATCTTCTACATCAGAGGTGGGGAACTCTTTTTGGGTCACGGACTGCTGACCCACAAAAAAAAAAAAAAAAAAAAAAAAAAAAAAAAAAAAAAAAATCAGTCAGGGCCGCACACAAGTGAGAAGCACAGTGAGAAGCCCCTGACTGAGAAGGAGAAAGACACTCCCCACATTCCCCTTGCACACCAGAGCCTAAGAGGGCCCAAGCTAGTAGATTTTGTGTGCTCCAGCCCTGCAGGTGAGTGGCTGGGGGGCTGGAGCATCAGCGAGGGTTCCCCAATGCTGAGCCCCAAGGGCCCGATCCAGGTAAGCAGGGGGCCTGAGGCTCCCCATCCCTGCTGTACATGAGAAGGATAAGAAATTTCATGTCAACGTGTGTGTTCAGCTAGGACCACCAGAAGTGTGATTTGCTCAGGGAGAAAGGGGTAAGATTAAAAAAAAAAAAAAAAAAAAAAAAAAGGATAGTTCTTAACAGAATAATTTAAACCACAGGATTCAGGAATTACTACCACAGAGTACATGAGATCTTTCCCATGTAGCAACTGATGCATGCTTTCAAGAATAAAACTAGTAAATATGCATTTCCATTCCCACTGATATTTTTAATTTTAAAATTCCGCTAGATGTACACTCCCACGTACAGCATCCTTGAGAAAGTTTATTGAAAAATCAAAAACCTCTGGAAACAGAGTAAATAGAGATTTTAAAAATAATATGAGATGAAAGCAGCATTTATCTTTAACACGCTGCAGCTACTGCAGATATAATTTTACATTCTGTATCTCTCATACTGAAGCAGTGAATAAGATTTGCTGCATCACTGGGTAGCACTGCCCTCTACTGCCACTTGGAAGATCTGGATTAAAGAGCAACCCTGGTGGTCTCTCAGGCCAGAATAGAAAGGCAAGCTTTGAACTGACACACTACATGAACACGAGTAAAATTCATACCTATCACAAATGTTAGTTACTTCCCAGCAACCACTTGCCAGTCACTTTTTTGGTTGGTTGCTGAAATCATGTATATTCTAAATTAAATGCCAAAAAACCCCTACCATTAACTTAAAGAACATGAACTCCCACAAAGCTGTAAGTCACTAAGAAAAGTTCATACCAGTGAAATTCTTTGTGCTTTGTATGCCACGGTTGATGCCCATGAGGTCAGACTAGATGATCGTGACGGCCCATTCTGACCTTAAAGTCAGAGTTACCAGCCAGCATGTGCAATACAGGGAAACTGTGCAATTCCATTTCAGGAGTATAAAGCATCTAATCATTAGGACCCTGCATGGATACAAAATTTATATCTGCAACTGTATCTACAAAAGTGAGCCGTGGATATCCACAAATATGCAGGATTCTAGATACAAAATTTGTATCCACAAAAGCGAGCTGCGGATAGCCGTATCCATATCTGCGGATGCAGATACCTGCAGATATCCACTGATTTGCAGGGCTCTGCTAACAATGGTTGTGTCAGCCTGATTTTTTTGGTTTTATGTTTTAGCTTGATCAATTTGCAGACATTCCAGTCCCCAGCAGAACAGCATTCACATAAAATGGCCTTAAATATACATAATTTTTATGAGACTTGAGGTTTATAAGATTCTTCTTAGCAAGGAAAAGTGACTCATTCTTCGGGGAAAGGCAGCTGGAGAAATGTTAGCAAAGGTAAGTAAAACTAAAAAACAAAACAATGTTTTGGTAAGCTTGGGTGCTACATGTAATTAAATGGGTACAAAGGCAAGATGAAATTTTCAAACTGTTGTGCCAATAATACTGCAGGTCCAGTGCTACAATGTACAATACCATGACAGCAGTCCCCCAATAGCTCCATTGTGGGACAAGATCAGTGGAAGCTCCACAGGACCAGGGAGGGTGCACTATTACAGCGGAGAAGTCAAAAGCTCAATCTGCTTGCGGACTGATGTATTTGGTTTTAAGGAAAACCACATTTATCCATAAGGAGACTCTCGCGGACAGCTACCAAACAAAAGGCCATGACAATTAGTCCACCCTAGGGATGTAAAAGTGTAACCATTTTAACGGTTAACCAATAAGCAGCAGCTTATCGCTGTCTATTATGGTTACACGCAGGTTTCACTGCGGGCTCTGCATTAGAATGCCTACGGGAAGAAGGAGAACCCCAGCAGACTTCCATCTCACAGCCATCACTTACACTGAATTCTACTCCTGTCTGGGGAATTGCTTTTCTTTATTTCAATTATATCCTCGAATGCTTGATGGCCTAAGACATGAGACAGATCTTCCCTTCTCAAGCACCGTAGTTCACACTAATTCTCCATCATCACTTAACCGTCTTTACATCAAGACCCTTTCTAAAATAAAGGCTGAAATTCCACCGCAAGTTACTGGGCTTGACACAAGGTTGCATTCCATGGCATGTTATGCAAGAAAACAAAGAAGGTGGTCAGAACAGTCGCTTCTAACCCTAAAATCAATTATCAAAGCACTGCACTGGTACTGAAGCTGCCGCGTGCATGTCTGAGGACAGGGCTACGGAGAGCCAATCAAGTACCACAGGAGTCAGTTATTAGTGTCTCAACAGATGCAAGTCTAGACACAATTATATTAGCATGCAAAGACAGGACCACAATACGGAATTTACTATGGATTTATGCTATCAATAGTCTTGCCTGAATGACAAAGCATCTCAATACTGTAGCAGATTTATAAGGAAGACTGCTTGCCATAATTTAACATAAGTGGGATTAGATAGTTCTGGCTGCAAGAGAATATAGCCTGTAGCACAGCGATCAATATGTGTGGTAGGAAAAAGAGAATCACCTCAGCACACTGAACTTTAGCAATGTAGCCGTTGTTCTGCAGCTCCATCCAGTTGGCCTCATAGAGTTTTGGTCCAATCAGGAAATTCAAGTCGACAATTTTGTCATCTTCTCTGACAAGAGTAGCAGTCAGTCCCAGTTTGCAGTGAGCTTGCACAATGGTGAGCACACGTCTAAACATTTTGGCTAAGAAACAGAAGGTGAAATGTCCTTGTTATTTCATAAATGGATTACAGAGACACACATTGTTGTATTTTTGAAAATCCACAATGCACAGCTGTATGTAGCGATGAGCACAGTACATAAGAATGGCCATACTGGGTCAGACCATAGGTCCATCTAGCCCAGTGGCCTGTCTTCCAACAGTGGCCAATGCCTGGTGCCTCAGAGGGAGTGAACAGAACAGGTAATCATTATGTGATCCCTCCCCATCATCTATTTCCAGACAAACAGGCTAGGGACACCATTCCTACCCATCCTGGGTAACAGCATGGATGGACCTAACCTCCATGAATTTATCTAGCTCTTTTTTTGAACCTTGTTAAAGTTCTACTCTTCACATCATCCTCTGGCAAGGAGTTCCACAGGATGACTGCGCGCTGAGTGACGAAAAACTTCCTTTTGTTTGTTTGAAACCTGCTGCTTATTAATTTCATTTGGTGACCCCTAGTTGTTATGTTATGGGAACAAGTAAATAAGTTTTCCTTATTCACTCTTTCTACACCAGTCATGATTTTCTAGACTCTACCCTCTTAGTCTCCTCTTTCCTAAAATGAAAAGTCCCAGTCTTTTTAATCTCTCTTCACATGGAACCCATTCCAAACCTGTAAATCATTTTTATTGCCCTTTTCTGAACCCTTTCCAATGTCAATATATCTTTTTTAAGATAAGGCAACCACATCTGTATGCAGTATTCAAGATGTGGTTGTACCATGGTTTTATATAGAGGCAATAAGATAGTCTCTTACTCTATCCCCTTTTTTAATGATTCCTAACATTGTTTGCTTTTTTGACTGCCGCTGCACACTGAGGCTACATCTAGACTACAGGCTTTCTTCTGAAAGAGTGCGTCCACACTGCAAAAGTGCATTGAAAAAGCAATCTGCTTTTTTGAAAGAGAGCGTCCAGGCTGAATGGACGCTCTCTCCCATGTAAGCTGTGATTGCTATGGATGGAATGGCTACCAGGGCACCTGTGCTTTTTCCTCTTTCCTCTTCTTCTGGAAGAACTCCCTCTTCCCCGTCCACATACACCGTTTTGAGAAATGCCAGAAAATTCCCTCTGTTCTCTTGATCTTCTTGCAGAAGAATGCAATTGCAGTGTGGATGTTCCTCAAGTTTTGTCAGAAAAACAGCTGTTTTTCCCGACAAAACTCTGTAGTGTAGGCATACCCTGAATGGATGTTTTCAGAGAACTATCCATAATGACTCAAAGATCTCCCTCTTGAGTAGTTGTAGCTAAATTAGTCCCTATTATATTGTTTGTATAGTTGGGATTATTTGTTCCAAAGTCCATTACTTTGCATTTATCAGCATTAAATTGAATTTGCCATTTTGTTGCCCAATCACTTAATTTGGTGAGATCTTTTTCAAGTTTTTCACAGTCTGCTTTGGTTTTAACTTTCTGAGCAGTACAAAATGATTAAGGAAATACAGGACTTTCATCTAATGTTACTCTACATTAAAACCAAACTGTAGATTGATTGCCGCTTTTGGCTTCTACTTAAGCCCTTTTATTGCACTGTACATCCACTGTACAAACCTTAACTAGTCCTTAGGCCCCAGTATAATCTTCGGGTCAAGTGTCTGGAGAAGCTCACAAATGTGGGGGCCAACCTCAGGGCAGACTGTTACAAACCAGGATGCTAATACAGGTTGGACCTCTCTGGTCCAGCACCCTTGGCAACTAACTTGTCCAGAACGAGGGAATTTGCCAGACCAGAGGAGGTCCCCTGTTACCAACTCTCCAGGCCACCTTCTCTCCCTACTGCCAGCCCCAGAATTGCACTCCCTCCCCTCCACACCAGCTGCTGTGCTTCTGATGCCCCCATTGCTCTGGCTCCGCTATCACGGCTGCCGCATCTCCGGCCCTGGCCCTGCTATCGCAGCTGCCACAGTCCCTGCTATGCTATCAGTGCTATGGCACAAGCCCCAGCCCCATTGGGCTCCCAGCCAGGACTCCCTTAGTCTAGGAGTACCTGTGGTCCTGCAGGATGAGGGAGACCCGGTTTTGGGAGGTCCAACCTGCATTAAACTGGTGTGCGTTCTACAATTAGATTTCACCAACCCGGTACCAAATGTGAACTCCTCAAGCACCAGAACAGCCTTAACATGAAGTCACAAACAATCCCCTTGGGTACCTTACTATCCTGCCACCCAAACTTGCCCTTGTGATAGATGGACCCTTACACTAACCACTCACTCACAACAACGTAAAGGTCAGGACCAGTCATTTACTACAGGTCAATTGTTACCTTCTCTCTCTCACCAAAGACAATGTTAATCACCAATCTTACATTAAACTATAACAGTTCATTCATTAGGAAAGAGACTTTAGAGTTTATTTGTAACATTAAAGCAAGTCGACATACACATATATGCATTACAATCTTAGGTTCCAAGAAGTAATAGCTACTAGACTATGGAAGCGCTCTGTGTCCTGTAGGGCTAACTCAAGATAAGCATCCTAGGGATCCTGCTTACACGTAAAATTCCAAGCAGCACAGTGAGACTGTTTCTCCTGGTCAGGGATTTTTATTCCTTTCCCTTAGATACCAAACTGTGATGGAACGCAGACCTGTGCATGCCCCCTTTCATGGGGTGTGGGGAGAGCAAAGTATTTTATTCACTCGTGTTCCACAGTAGTTCACGTGGTGCCTGACACCTCTTGTGGTAAAACTAGTTTTTCACACTTGGTCGTTCTGCTTCTCACTAGGGGGAGGAGTTTTGAGTTTCCTAGGCAACGCTTTTATAGTTAAATATGACTTTATAATATGAGACATGGCTACAATAAGTGAGATTAATGCAGGCAACAACTCACAGGCACTAATCAGATCTCTATAAATCTAATTCCTATTTTAACAATACTACCACACAGGTGAGCCAGACTGCTTTTCAGCTATGCATTTGTCAGTGTTCAATGAGGCCTAAGGATCTTGCCATAAGCTGGCATCTGGGTTGCAGAATTACAATTCCCATTGATCAGATCCAAAAAAGAGTGATATAGGTGTTAAATTATTTCATTTAGGCCACAAAGCATTTCAAACCCTATTAGAATACAGGGGTTCTACTATTCCTAGATTCAAGACCTCTGGAAGAAGATAATCTTTTCAGGTCCTTCTAGTGTTCCCATGACCATCATCTTTCTAATAGTACTAAGTAGGCCTTCTGCCTTATTTTTTATGATCAAGTCTAAGAAATGATGGTTTTGAAGCAACAGCTTATATCTTCATTAAAGTGCCTGTCAGTAAGCAACGGCTATTTCCATATTTTACCATTTCTCTCATTTCGGCTAATACTGAAATGGTTTGCATGTAATTTTTAAGTAAGTGTATAGCAGTTGGAGACTTAGACCAGTTTGGTGGAGCATTTCTAACCAGCACGGTATCTTATAAACTATAATGCTCCTTTTTCTCCTTACAACACCATATATCCCTATCTGGAAATCAACATAACTCTCAACTATCAGAATTTCAGAAACAAATTAGTGTAGCTATATTTCTACCCCATAAAATACATACACAGGCAATGAAATCCCTAACCTATTCATAGGGACCAGACTTCAAGAGACTGAGAAGGAATGTCTCAGGATACACTTGAAAGAATGCACAACTTATCTTCCACTTGTATTGATGTAACATCCACATGGCTACTTTAGCAACTGTTACGTGAAAAGTAAATGGGCAGTAAGTGTATTTTAGAAATCTTGTAGAGATATTTAAGCCACTGTGGAAGAAAACCGGCACCATTCTCTGGACCACAGTTCTGGAGGTGACAATTCTTACTACTGTAATTAGGAAAAAAGCACTACTATACTAAAATGATTTCCCACTGGTATTAAGAATGATCACATGGATACCCTAATGAGTTAAAAGGTCTGTAGAAAGCAGTAATGCAAAAACTTGTACCAGAGCCTATGACTGTTTACACATATTAAGCCTTAAATACTAAGCTATTAATTTATTCTAGAACTACAGAATAGCATTGTGAGAAAGCCAGAAAAACGATGGGGAGAGGGGACTATTAAAGAAATTGTATACTCCTTCCTTACCAGGTATAGTGTGCACCTCATCAAGTATCATAAGACCCCACTCTTGACTTTTAAGCCATTCCATTACTCTCTCTGCTTCCCAAGACCTCTTAGTTGTGTGTCCCAACATAGAGTAGGTGCTAATTGCAACAGAGCAGCCAATAGGCTTGTCCTTGGCATCTGAAGTGAATCGACAGATTTGGCTGTCATCTATGGTGGACCACATTTTGAATTGGGCTTTCCACTGCTCCACTGAGACAGAAGAATTGCCAAGAACCAGGCAACGCTTGCGGACTGTACATGCAGCTGTAACTCCAACTAAAGATTTGCCAGCACCTGCAGGAGGGAAGGAAAAATAAGAGCAACTGTTATCATGTATGCACCTGACAGACTCCATCATTCCTTGGACAAAAAGGAGAAGGGGAGAAAAACACTTTGGAATAGTTAGCTAGGAAATCTCCAAGAGGAGGGAAAATTTCTCAGTATCTAGTAGGAATGTAAAATCCTGTTTAAAATGTTAACTGATTAAACTATCCATTTTAACCAGTTAACTGGCCTGCTGCATCACTCCTTCGGTTCAGCTGGGTTGGAGCTGCCCTCTGCCCGCGTCGTGCTGGTTAACTGGTTACCAGGTAAGCATGCCAGCAAGGCAATGTTTATCGGGTAACCCTTTACATTTCTAGTAGCCACAGCATCCGGACAATGATAAAAAGCAGCAGCTGCCTTTACATAGTAGCATAAGAAACCACACATCTGTGTCTGCTGTTCGTCACACACTTAGGAAAAAATCTCAGCAAAATCTCTGCAATTAATGTTCTCCTTGTACCAAAACGAGCTGCTTCTACTAGTTTCTCTCATTCCAAAACTTAGTCCTGGTCTTCACTGCAATTTTACACTGGCATAACTAGATCACCAAGGGGTATGAAAAATCCACAGCCCTGAGTAATATAGTTACACAGACAAATCTATGTTGATGAGACAGCTTCTTCTGTTGACAGAGCTCCCACCTCTCATGGAGGCAGATTAACTACACCGACAGGAACAGCTCCCCCATCAGTGTAATACCGTTTTCGCTATGGCAGCACAGCTACAGCACCGTACTTGCGGAGAAATCTCTCGACTAGGCCAGACAGCTTCAGCAAGCTGTTAGTTACCTAGAGGGTTTCTGTTATTTCCGTATGCTGGATCACTCGCTGGTTAAAAGACACCAAACCAAGAGTTGGAGTCAACTATGAGTTTTCAGAATGGAGCAAGGTAAATAGTGGTGTCCCCCAGAAGCCTGTACTGAGATTGATATTGTTCAAAATGGGCACAAATGACCTGGACACGGGGGGCAAAATAGGAGGGTGGCAACATGTGCAAATGACACAAAATTACTGAAGATAGTTAAACCCAAAGCAAAGGGTTACAAAAGTATCTCACAAGACAGCAGAACAAGGTAACAAAATGGCAGATGAAATTCAAATGCAAAGTAATGAACGCTGGAAAACATTCCCAACTGTAAATACAAAAGGATGGAGTCTAAATTAGCTGTTACTACTCAAAGATCTGGAGTCATCATGGATAGTTCTCTGAAAACATCTGCTCAGTGTCCAGCAACAACAGCCAGAATGTTAGAAACCATTAGGAAAGGGATCGATAATAAAACAGAAAATATCAAAATGTCACTATTTGGGAGATAACTCTACTGGGACAATCCATAGAACTGAGATAGGAGAATGTTAATGGTTGCCAGCAACTGGTTCTATGTTCTATTGACATTTGCAGACCTAGATGCTAAGCAGATGCTAAGGGCTCTCCGTGACTCCTCTGCCCTTTCACAAAAATCAACAGGATTATATCCAGAACATTCCCTGAAATTCTCTGGAATCGATTATCTGTGGCAGTCAAAAATTGTGTTACCAACAGATAAATGCCATCAGGTTGCGTGTAAAGCCTTGCTTCAACTCAGCCAAAATCCAAATACTTACCACATGGCAGAACAATAACGCCAGATCTAGCACGCCCATTCCCAAACATCTTCCTTAGGCTTTTCTCCTGATACGGTCTGAGAACAGCTGTGGGCTTCAGGTCTATATTAATATCAGGATTCACTGAATCATTTCTGAAGTCATACTCTGCCAGCAAAGGGTACTCCAAATGGATGCAACGCTTTTGAAGCTCTTCAATCATTTCCTAGAAAGAAAACAAAGCTTCTAACTGCACATTCTAAATTTTTGAAACCTGCTGATAATTTTTTTAAAAATTGCCAGACAAATATGCAGACAAGTTTACTGTTCTTTTACATCCTTGCTCACTCTGTAACATCAGGATTTAAAACCTATTCACAGAACTTGGCTGGTGATCAGAGCAGCAAACAATCATTTAAATATTACTGTACATTATAAACAAAGGAGGGAAACTGCTGACAAATGGAAAAATTCAAATCTCGGAGAAGGTGTTATTCTGTGGGAAAAGTCCTTGATAACATCCTTCATAGGGCTATTGACAAATCAACATTTTGAAGGAGCAAATCCCTTCTTCAAATACAAAAAATTCAAAATACAGCATATCTGGTCATTATCAACAAGAATCCACAAAAGCTACTCATTAGTAACTGAGAAATCTGCATTCCCCCATAGAAGATATTCGATAACACCAGCATGTTGCTTTTAATTGCTAAGACACTGGAAAAATGTGATCTAAATAGCTTGCCAATTTTCTTTATATGTTACAATAAGGCAACAAAAGACTTGCCAAGTCTAGGATAAAACTAAAAAGTGCCTTGTAACTAAGTCTGATCTAATACAGTCAATGGCACCTGCTATCTGTTAAGCACCAATATGCTCCATCCTGTACATGATAGAAATATAAAATGAATCTCTTTCAAAGGATTTTATAAGCCCAGAGAGTTAGACAAAACACTGCAAGGAACTTCAGCAAAATCTGATTCAAACCACTCCATGATCTCACATCCCGCAACTTACACACTGCTGGGATGGAGAAGGCACTTGACAAACACACAGAAAATATTCCACACAAAAATCGGAACAGTGAATCTCTTTATATAGGCCATGTTTGCATAAGGAGTAAGAATGGTATTGTAGCTAAGGCACTGAAGTTGAACTTGTGAACTTTGTCCTTGGGCAAGTCACTTAAGTTGCTAGTACCTCAGCTCCCCACTCGCATGAGGGACTAACAATGATATCTATTTTACACAATATTGGCTTTTTAAGGATTCTGGTTGGGATTTTCAGATGTGCCCAAGGGAGTTAACCATGCAACTCCCTTTTAACATCAATGGGCTCCTTTGAAAATCATAGCCAAATTTTCTAGTACTTGTGATAGGCTGAGACATTACAACAAGCACCAAAGAAAAGTTCCCAAGACCTAATCAAGCTCCTCCAGCATAAAGGATATGGATGCAAGCCACATTAACGTACACCGTTCGGAAATAACAACCAACAAGATCCAGCAGACAAGATATACTTAAAGACAGTCTGCAGAAGCTGCTGGGGCTGGAAGGACACATCAAGTCACACAAAGCACGCAGGTGATTTAGAATCTACCTTCAGACTATATGAATATTCTCAAGTAATTATCTCACTTAAGGCTTAGTCAGCATGACCCAGTCCACCGGAGGCACCTAACACAAAGGTAGCCCATTCAATCCTGCAAAAAAGGAGCCCCATATTGCCTAGCAACTGCTCTGTAGCCTATTCATGATGCTCACATCAGCCAGAGAAGGGGCAGCCTCTCATCTCTCCCACCAAGCTGGAAAGGAAGATTCTGTGATGTAGAACTTTCAGAGAGGAGGGAAGAAATCTTGATGGCTCCAACAGCCGCCAATAGAAAAAGCCTTAGAATATGGTATTCTCCAAACCCCAAATCCAATTGCCTGTAGTGCGACTTGCTATGACCATGGATGCCTAGGAGTCAACAGATACTTACCTGCTTAACTTCAAAAGATACAGTCTGTGTTTCTTCCTCCTCCTCCTCATCTTTGTCCATTTGCTCATAAAACTCAAATAAATCAGCCGGGACATCTGATTTATTCTGAGTGTCTGTCCCTTGGGATGTTGAAGGGCCTCCTTCACTAGATTTGGAAATCTGAAACAGGAATTTAACAGACTCAGATTTTCGCAATGATCACCACTGCAGATATTCAATGTTATGTACAGCCTCACAAAGTGGAATCCAGTGTTTTACAAGGTGACCCTTGATCCCAACGTACTGCTGATTTACTCGTGAATGTCTCCATGATGAGCTCTGTTTCTTCTCCCTCAGCATTTCTCAGCCGACAGTCTTTGACGACATGGTCCTGAAGAAGCTGCTGGATGACCTCAGGGTGGGTGCTTTCTACAAAATACCTACATGGAAAGAACATACAAGAACTATAGAAATACCTCCCAACAAGTTTAAAGTACAGCATATAGTCCACCTGTGGAACTCCTTGCCAGAGGAGGTTGTGAAGGCTAGGACTATAACAGAGTTTAAAGAGAAGCTAGATAATTTCATGGAGGTTAGGTCCATAAAAGGCTATTAGCCAGGGGATAGAAATGGTGTCCCTGGACTCTGTTTGTCAGAGGCTGAAGAAGGATGGCAGGAGACAAATCGCTTGATCATTGTCTTCGGTCCACCCTCTCTGGGGCACCTGGTGTTGGCCACTGTTGGCAGACAGGCTACTGGGCTAGATGGACCTTGGGTCTGACCCAGTACGGCCATTCTTATGTTCATTATGCCAATCAACAGAGAAGCTGTCTGAGCACCTACTGGAATACTAGCACTGACGTTTCAAACAACCTGACAGGGTACGTCTCTACATCAAAGTTATTTCGAAATAACTTTCCTAATGTCTACACAAACCAACTGCAATTTCGAAATTAAATCAAAATAGCGGAGGGCTTATTTTGAAATTGGTAAACTTCATTCCACAAGGAATAACGCCAATTTCAAAATTGCTATTTTGAAGCAAGTGCTGTGTAGACACTTATTTCGAAATAGGGGGCCTCCAGCCCTTTCCAGGATGCCCTGGTGGCCACTCTGGCCTCAACCAAGAACACTCCTCTCCCTCCCACCCCGCCCCAGAGCCCTTAAAGGGGTAGACTCTGGCCACAGTGCCTGTGCCAGCTCCAAGCCTGCCAGCCCAGAGCCAGCAGTCACTGCCCCTGACCCAGTGGCCCCAAAACATGAGCCAGCAATCCACTGGTAACCAGCCCTCCACCACTCCCCAGGAGCAGACTGCCAGCTCCCAGGAGCCTGCCAGGGCCCTGAGAAGGCGGGTGCCTTTCTGGCCCAAGGAGGAGATCATGGACCTTATTCAGGTTTGGGGGGATGCCCCCAACATCCATGATCTCCACACTAGATGGGGGAACGCGGCCATCTATGGCAGGTTAGCTGCCAGCCTGGCCACCAAAGGCCACATACAAACCCAGGAACAGGTTCACATGAAAATCAAGTTGGTCCAGTGAGACGCTCAACTTTGAGCCCTGAGCTTCCCCTCCCCCTTCTTCCCCTTGCGTCCCCCTTCCAGCTCCCTCCTCCCACTTATTGTATGTGTTGTACTTATGCGGCGCCCCAGCGGTCCACTGATTGTATGTGTTGTACCGATCGATGTTTCCAGTTTGTCAACTTCGCGGAGCCCCTGGAGATGGCTTGCGGAGCTCTGGGAATCCACGACGCCCAGTTTGAGAAACACTGCCTTACAGAATGTCCAGGGAGGTTAAGATAGGTTTGTGTATGTTACCATTACTGATGTCAGATTTGTGTCCACGTGTCCTTTGGATCAGATACTGACCAGTTTGTCCAATATATGGCAGAGGTGCACTACTGGCAATTGATGGCCTATGTGATTGAGATATATATATCTCAGTCTCAACACACACACTCATGTGCTAGCAATGCCCCTCTGCCATGTATACTGGCCAAACTGGACAGTCCAATTCATCAGATGAAGAGGGTTTTACCCATGAAACCTTATGCCCTAATAAATCTGTTGGTCTCTAAGGTGTCACAGGACTTTTTTTTTTTTTTTTTTTTCCAGATAGACATACACAGCTACCCTTCTAAGAATTCTCAGCTCAGCTGTCTGAGACCAGAGATGGACCAGTCAGTTAACATAAATCAGTGCTTTTGGTTCCGAGACTCTTTCTAAAAAGCAGTATACCCATGCTAAACAATTTCCACCACTACAGTCCACTCAGAACCATCACACTTAAAGCAAATGACTATAATTGTAGCATCACAAGCATGATGAATAAAAAAAAAAAATTAAAAAAAAGACTTCCTGCCCCAAGAGAGAAGCTCCTTACCTGTTGTGTTTCAGGACTAGTTTTACCTTTCCATAGCTCACAGTACACAGCTACAAAGAGACAAGAACATCCATTAGGAGAACAAGCAATTCACATTCAGCATAATAAAGCAGCAGCTGAGTCCCTGACAGCACAAGCATTCTGAGTATGCAGAAATATTTACACATACCCCTGGCTGCGTAACCAGAATGGCTCACCAAGACTAGTACAGGTTGAAGCTCTCTCGTCTGGCACCCTTGGGACCCAACCAGTGCTGAACCAAAGAATTTGCTAACCATAGGTGGTCAATATTGTCTAGTAGCATTACCAACACTTCCACTGCTTACTGGACTCTTAGAGGTACATTTAGAGCTACATTAGAGCTAAATAACAGTATAGAAAGCTCAGAACCAGGACTGGTGGCTGTAAACAAACTTTATGGAACTGCAGGAAACTGGGCCACACCCATAAGTGGACATCCAGCTAACTAAAATCATGTCAGATTACGAAAGTTGCCAGACCAGAGTGTGCCAGACTAAAGAGTATTGATCCTGTGCAGGTTGAACCAAGTCAGAATAAATGTGAAGTACAAGGGAGAACTGAAATCAAACACTATACACACAGGATTGCAGAGCACTGCTGCAAAACAGTTAGGTGTCAAAGATGAGAGATATTCAAATGGTTGCACAGCCAATTATCTTAAAAAAACTATTAAGAACTGGATGCTTTTATAAACCTGAGCAATTCTTCCTCTCAATACAGAGCTCACCTATCCCACAATGTAGTGGCAGAGGTCCCCACACGGAAGTCCTATTTCAAGTTTGGAACCTTTGGTAATATCTGTCCAAATAGCAGTTTGTTCACATGCCATCAGCTTTTTCACAAGCATCTGCACTCTCCCAAGCCACATCCAGAAAGAGCTGGAGGATACAGACAGGCTATGGCTATTTGCTGGTAACAAGACCCGTTATAGCAGGCGTCTGGCAATGCCTGCAACAGTGTGTACAGGTTGGACTTCTCTGGTCCGGCACACTTGAGACCTTAGTTGTCCCAAACCAGGGAGTTTGCTGGACCAGGGGAGGTCGGCGCTCCCCTGCTGGCTGCCCGCTCCCAGGTTCCTCTCCCGGGGTTCCTTGCCCTGCCCATGCCCTTCTAATGCTGGCCCGGCAGGGGCTCCTCACACTGCTGCCCGCAGGCTGTCTCAATGTCTCCCAGGGCTCCTAGCTGGGACCATCTAGCCGCGATCCCAAAGCAGGTGGTGTTCCCTGGGGTTCTTGGAAGGGGCCGCCTGACTACCCTACTCCTCTGCTAGGGCCGGCCCGCTGTGGCTGGCATTTCCCTGGCAGAGTTGCCTGCCTCCGCCAGCCCCACTTCAGCCAGAGTGTTCTCAGTCACCCCAGCCCCACTGCCACTGGAGGGTTCTGGAAGGGGCCGCCTGGCTGCTGCCGGAGGTTCCCTGCCCAGGTCTCCCACCCCGTCAGCCCCTGAGGCCAGGATTCCCCAGACGCTTGGCCCAGCTGATGCTGAGTATTCCCCTGCCGGAGCAGGGGATCCCCAGCCACGCCTGGCTCTATTGACATCAAGGGTTCCCTGGCCAGGTGAGGGGCTCCCCAGCTGCTATCTGGTGCAGCTGCTGATGGTCCAGACTAAGGTCCCCAGCTCCCACGTTGTTTCTCACTGCCACTTCCGATGCTCTTTGGTCAAGCAACATGCATGGCCCTGCCAGACCACGGATATCGCCGGCCCAGAAAGTCCCCGATTTGGGAAGTTCAACCTGTATCTGTATTATCACTGCACTTAGGAGTACAATTCAAGGACAAGAACTTGTGCTAGGTGGTAACCAGAAACAGAACAAAAAGACAGTCCCAGCTACTAAGAGTGAAAGTCGAAAGGCGCAGTCCTTCCTAAGAAGCATGTGCTTTTCTTAGCATAAAAGAAAATTACACAGTTACCTTTTCCAGAGAACAGCCTCCTGCCACCCAATGTATGTTATTATTGCATAATAATGGAAATGAACGGTAACATGTTTAATGCAAAGCGATGTTTGCTCAGTTATTCAGTAATTCTAATAATAATCATCCTAATTCAGCATGTATTTCCTACACTGCTTTTATGGTTAAATGTGTAGATTACTTATTTCTGTTAATATAAAAATATATTCCAAAAAAATCTACAGGCCATGCAACACAGATGTGTTAATACAATTATTGGAACCTGGACTTTAGCATTTCTGACTTGGATTTTAATAGAGCAATCCCAACTCTGCATTACCTTAATATTAAATTAAATGCAAAAACACAACTCTGATACAATTCAATAATTTGTACATTTTATGAAGTTTTAAGCCATATTGCAAGGATGATTCCAGACTTAGGGCCAGATGCTGCAGCTCTTACTTATGCCAATTAATTTATTTTCATGAACAATGGTTATAGGATCAGCTTGTTATATGACATTTTCTGTTTGTGGGTCAAACCTATTTAAAAGGTATTTTTAGTATTTTGGAAATGTATGTGTGAGACAGGGAGAAATCAATCGGAAACATGCTCTTTTTATGTTTCCAGTTTCAAGCTGTCACAATTTGAAAGCTATGTTTCTGATGCTACCCTAAGGATAAAGGAAGAAAACAGGACGAAGAGCAGGCTTCTCTGAAACAGAGCAAAAAGAAGAGAAGAGGAGTATTAGACACATGAAAAGACCACAGTGAATGACTCTCCACGGAAATGGTCTTACCTTGATGAACTGAATTATTCCATCTGGGACACCAGTCTTGCTCAGCTTTTGCAAATATTCAGTGATGTCACTGGTTTGTAAACCAACACTGACAGCAGCATAAAGCGAGTAAGCAGTGAGTTTGTATTCGTGTACATGCGTTGGCCTGCACACAGGTTCAGCAATAGCAACCAGAAAATCCTGGGCATATTTGTAAACAGGAGAAAAGGCTTCCAGGAAAACATGGCCATCAGGAGCCTATAAAACAGAAAAGGAAAAAGATGTCAAAACAATAATGACGTTGTGTGAGAAAAGCAGAAAGACCTCTCTACTGCTAGGATTAAGAAACCAATATTATTTAACTGGCAGTACATAACAGGGCAGACAAAAGGTGCTGCCATCTCAGTGTGGGGACTACATACAGAAGAAAACTCATCTTACATTCAAGATGCAAACAAAATAAAATAAATAAAATCATCAATAAATTTGAAGCCACTTTGAGGTCCATCTAATCAGTTTCACTATTACCAATTTCAACATCATAGAGCACCATGTGAGAGAAAAAAGCTTTTTTAAAAAGATATGTGGCTATAACTGGATGAATAACATTTATTTAAAAATGTTTGTTAGATTTTAAAAAATTAAATAGTTTTATTAAATAAATTATTTAAAATGAAATTTGAAAGTCACAATTTATAGTAAGGCCTAAACTTATCATAATATATTAAAATTATTTAAATTAAATACCAAAAAATGGCATGTTTGCTACCAACTTTTTAAGAAAATCCAGCCACTGAATTTATGGAAATTATAGCTAAGCATCTGGAACCATCATTTTCTGAAGTGTTAAACCAGTTTTTGACAACAGTAGCTCCTTCCTCCGGAAGGGAGCAAATATTTTCTCAATTTCAATGTATTTAACTAGCTCAGTTCAAAATTAAGAAATCAATGCAAACTGAAAAAGCAAGGAAGCTTGTTATCCTCTTCCAGTCTATGAATAAAAATTGGGATGAGATCTACTAGTTCTAAAAGTTTGCAGGACATGTTGACCATCAACAATCAGTTCAATTAGATAAAGACAGATCATACTTCCTTTGCTTAATAAATCAGTTTTAAATATAAAATCTATTTTGGTAACATTTTTCTTATTTATCCAGCACATTTAAAGCAGTTTAATTAAAATGCCATTTTGATTGTTTTTAATTGAATTTCCACCCAAATATAGAAGTGATGGGCAACCTGCAGCCCACATGAAGCTCATTGGGGTTCTGTGTGCGGCCCATGAGACATTTTGTTTACTGTTGCCCATGTGCAGGGTTGACAGATTCTGCTGGTTTTTCATTTTTTCCTGATTTTTATTAGCACATGTGAACTGAGGTGCCTGCTGATTGCAGGTAACATTGACTGAGAGCTGTGCACTCCCTCTCTGCATCCAATCAGAGTGCTATTACTGTTCAATATGCACACCCTGCAAATTCTAGGAACACAAGTGGAGTCAGCAAAACTACCCTACCCCGGGAAACTGCCTTGGTTATAACAATCTTGCAGCCCACTGAGAAGAGGGACGGCCACCCACTAGCCTAGGCTGCCCATCCCTGAAATAAAGCATGACACAAATCACAAATAAAGTTAATTGTCAACTAAATAAGAAATGCATCATTTCAATTAAAATTGAGCATGCAACTAAGTTAAGTTAAGCTGTATAGCTGCTTAAATAAATGTATACAGATCTAGTGTTCCCTGGTGAGCAACAAGTAGTACCAAGTGTCATTCAAAGACTATATTCGTTGCAAATCAATATGATTATCAACCAATAAAAATAAACCTTTCTATAGGAAAATAACTAAAATACACAAATGCAAAACTCAATTAAAATAGATTATTTAAATCAAGGTTTCTTGCTGGTTGATTTAAATCTTGTTGACTTACATCAATTGACTCTGGGCTGTAAAACCACAAAAACTGCTAAGGGACTCAGAGCTAGGTATCTTACCAGAAGGTAATTTTAACCTATTTTCTGCAATTCGCCAGATCTTAATTTGTCAAATATAAACACCATTAGAATTTATTTGAGTGTTTTCAATCTGCTGTATTAATTGTCTGGTAAGACCATATACAGAGTGTTAAGGAGGAGTCATTACATTAATCAAAGCCCTGATCACAATAGCAATACACACTGACATGCGATAAGAGGGAAGATCCTCTCATGGATCAGTAACTAGTTGAAAGTTATGAAACAAAAGTAGGACTAAATCATGAGTTTTCACAGTAGACAGAAGTAAACAGCAAGCAGTCCACAAAGGACCTGTACTTGGACCAATGCTGTTCAACATATACAATGATCTGGAAAAAGGGTTCAACGGTGAAGGGGTAAATGAGGACACGTTATTTAACCCTTCACATAATATAAGAACTAGGCATCACACAATGAAGTGAATTGGCAGCAGGTTTGAAACAAACACAAGGAAATACTTCTTCCTGTAACACACACTTATCCTGTGCCAGAAGACACTGTGAAGTCCAAAACCATAATTTGATTAAACAACTAGTGGTCCTGTAGCACCTTACAGACTAGCAAAAATATAGACAGTATGAATTTTCATGGGCACAACCCACTTCTTTGAACCTTGCTTCATTCATCTGAAGAAGTGGGTTTTGTACTCAAAAGTTCAGGATACTATCTATGTTTTTGTTGTTAGTCCCTAAGCCAGTGGACCCCAACCTTTAGAGGCTCCCGGGCGCCCGGGAGGTGAGGCTGCTCACGCGCCGGGCGCCCGGGAGGTGGGCCGCGCGTCCGGGGGCACGCCAGGGGACTGGGATGCCCTTGCACCTGGCGCCGGCATGTGCCCTAGGGCCGGGGCTGGGGCCACCCGAGCGCCTTGTGCTGTGGGCCCGGGGCTGGCGCTGTCGCCTGA